TTTAGATATGAATTATTGCTTTAATGTGTGAAAACTTCTATAATCGGCCATTAAGATTTGGGATTTTTCTTTTTTTTAAAAAAAACAATTATTTTGCTTGTGAGTCTTGACACAGGGGGTTAAAACACAAGCGATAGAATGCTGCCTGTTCAATGCCAGCCGCGGTTCCTAGGAGCCATTAGTATTTAAACTGGGGTTGAACCGAGATCCACAGTTTGGGAGTTGAGGTGCAGTGCTAAGACCAGCCTCCTATTTCTAAGCTGACTTTCTGACAACAGGGGGACCCCGAGTGTGACGGCTTCGTTCCTCCACCAGGGAACTGTCTGGCACCCACCTTGCTCCAAAGAATTACTGACAGAGGGTACATGATGGAAGAGGAAGATCAAGCCTGTCTTGATCTTCCTGTACAATAGATGGGAGCTAAAAACTGTATGGACCATTAAACGTTGACCTTTTTAAACTCCTAGTAGTTGATAAACCTGCTTTAACCAGTGGCATCAGACACTACGTTCCTTAGGATTAGAAATCTGATTTAATGAAACAAACTGTGACGTGCACAAAAGGAAGACGTTTGTTTTTATTTTTCACTGCCAGCTTAAATTTTTCTACAATTTGCATGTTTGAGGGTTTTTTAATTGTATGTATTATGGTATCAGCCAGAAGCATTTTGACATACCGAAATCAGAGGCACCTGCTCCTTTCTGTTTCCGTAGAGGTTTCTGAGACCTTTCCCTAGCACCCAAGGAAAGCAGGAGGCAGCGTGTGCAGACCTGTAAATGGTTCATCTTTAAACTGTACATAAGTGGAACATTTAATAAAACCAGGGAAATGGATTTATAAACATGCGTTTTTATTATGGAGAAGTATTTAACTCTTGTGAATATGACTGTAAAGCTGCGGATTGTGCTACATGCAACTCCCCAGCTCCTCTGCTTCCCGCACGGCGCAGTGCTGTCGGGGAAGCAGGACGGCCTGCTGGGGTTCATTTGCACACCCTCTACCGCTTGTGAAGGGATTCCTGATAGCTGTGTGTGGCCTGGGAAAGCCCAGAGATGGGATAGTAATTTAAATGTGTTTACATGTCATCCATCTGTGGGGTGAGAGTCTGCTCCCTCCTGCCTCGGAGGCCCCCTCGTTGCCACTCATTCCCTGTAAGCGGGTTTGGGTTCCCTGGAACAGCCTGCTGTCCGCATTTGGAGTCTTTTTTTTTTTTTTTTTTTAAA